TATATATATATATATATATATATATATATATAATTTGAAGTGTTTTTGTAATTGTATAGCTTATTGCTTTTGCTAAACATTTGCTTACCAACTACACTGTCTGTTTCTCTCTCTCTCTTTTCTCTCTGTAAGACTGAGATTTGATCTCCACCCACTCTGTGTACACACACACACACACACACACACACACACAGGATGATAGCTGAAAAGCCAATTGCTTGACATAAATAAAAGACACTCCACTGTCCACGTTTACAGTACATGCAGAGGATGGAAATGACGTCACTCTGTAGACCCTCTGTAATATCAAAGAGGCCTGTGGTGCAGGTTATGGGAACATACAGCAGGACATGGAAATGCTTATGACACATTGTTCTCCAACTTTGTGTGTGTGACCTGAGGCAGAACAGATAGGAATGCTTCTGAGACGAACTGGTGACAGCGGGATAAACGGCTGGATGCAAATCAAGGCAAATGTAAAATATGTGAACTAATGAACAAATCGGAACAAATGTGATGCTGATTATGTTGAGATTAATTAGTAAAACTTTTATGCTGAATTTTCTAAACATTCTACAAACCCTGTTTATCACAATAAAACACTGCTTTTGTATCAAGTAAAATAAAGGGTTAAAATAAGAAGAAAATCCAAAAAGTTATTATTTAATATTTCTCTGTTTGAAAAAATGGGCTCTATTGCACCACTTTCAAAATGCGTATTAATGTAAGATGGTTAGGGTTTATAAATGTTGTGTATGTTTTTGCTGAACAGGATCTCTGTGGGCGTATAAATGTGTGTGTTTTGAGTTCTTCCAGTGGGATGTAATAAAGGACAATGTGGGACTATGTAAATTGAGAATCAATCTTCTCCATTGCTTTAATTACCTTAAACTCTTTTCCCTCATCTAACAGGAAATGAAATAGTAGAAATTTGCATTGCCTAATACGGTTTCATAACCACAGTAAGAACAGGATTGTTGGGGTAATGGTGTTCCAGGTATACATTAGTCACAGTAATGATTACCAAAGAATACCTAAACCATAACTCACACAAACACATGCTTACATGCCTGTCTAAATGAGTACATATCATACACTTCAATGGTTTCATATAATGCTAATGATAAATCAAACCCAACCCACAAAAGAAAATGTTTAGCATTTTTACAATTTATTTTATTTTAATATTTATTTTAACATTAACATTTTGAAATAAAACAAAAATCAAATAAAATATTGATTCTTCTTTAATGAGACAATGACTCTAAATTAGTTTTCATTTTGCAGCCTTTAAAATAAATAAATAAATATACCTTTTGTCTTTTATAATTTTTAATTATAAATGAATATTTATAATAATATTTTAATAACAATAATACAA